TTACATTGCACGTAGGCATACGTATGTGAAAGAAAACCGGAAGCATTTGTAGCCAAATGCGTCTGTAAATTGGAACGGCCACCGCAACAAGTCGGAAGATGGTGGACAGCTCTCACTGGTCAGGCCAAGCACCGATGAATTTCTAACCGGAAGACTGCCGATCAAAGAGGAAGAGGACAAGACCAGCGAGTCGATAATATCTGGTTCTTTCGCAATTTAACGTTCGATAAGCGTTTATTCTCTTTCAAATGTTCGTCGCGTTTTTCGTTTCCTATTTCGGCAGCCTGAACTGGTTTCATCACATTAGAAAGTTACACAGAGATCAATAGAATTTCTGACAGATAGATGAAAAATGTTTGATTTTTATGCATTTATGAATTAATTCGTGAATTGCAAAACTACACAGACACAAAGAAATTTGGGAAACGGATGAAATACAAAAATACAAAAACACACAATTTTGCACATAATACGTACAGATAAATGAATAAATATTCAAAGTAACATTTAATAGATGAAACATTCCATTTTGTTCAATCATATTCATAAAGATATAGTTTTACATAAATGATATTTCCTTTGCAAAACGTAGACACGACTGACCGACGTTCGAGGCAGTATGTTCTGTTCAATAGTCAAGGTCTCATTGATGAAAAATGAAACGGTAATAAATAGAGAGAAAGTTGGCGGAGGCGGTGAACGGCAATAAAAGATGTGAGAATTAAATTCTCAAGCACTGTCGTGTACGATAATTGGCAGAGGGCGCGGTTTTAAGTATTACGCTTTCGAGAATAACTTCTCTCTTTGTTCAACACTTGAACCTCTTCTCGACATCTGAAGTAATGTTTGACTTCAAAACGACGCCGAAAACGTCCGAGATATTTGCACGAAAGTAGACCCACTATTAGTGAAAGTACTATTTAAAAAATAAAGATTTTTTTTTTTTCAACCATCAAACAGCTAGTTTAAATAAGCACTAGTAACAATCTAATTGGCCGTTTTAATGTGTTTTCTAAAAAGTATACTGAAGCTGTCATTAAGAAATGAGTGCTGAAGATGAATGACGACATGCGGAGCAATTAATACTTTTCAAAGTATCGGTTGATCGCGAAAAAGATACACGAGGAGAGTGGAAAAAGGAAACGAACACCGTTTGCCGGAGAAAGTATCTGCTAACTTCGACTATAGAAATACTCGACTTATAAAACGATCGTGAACGAGATCCTATACCTGATCTACTGTGATTCGTCGATCTGTTCTTCGAATTTTTTTTGCACATTTTGGATTCTCTCCTTGATGTGTCATACAAAAATATATTAACCTGAATCAAGAGACTGGGAAACGCTCCGATTCTCTTTCTTCCTTGTGAGCGACATAGAAATATCTAAATTTGCATTATTCTAACTAAATATCGATCAACGTGTAGTCACAGATCCACGGTTAACTGGTTTCTTGTAACATCAAACGTTAAAATGATATGAAAGTTGAAAAGAGACAATTAGAATTGCCCATGATTAAAGCATAAAGCTTGTACTTGAGAAAAGTTTCATTGCAATAAAAGAAATGCTTTCATCTTGCAAAAAATTATTCAAATCTAGTAAAAATATAATGTTATAAATCCATAAGGTTTCTATGAAAAATTACGAATTGATCATTTTGATCACTCCGACAGTTCCAATGTCAATGAAAGTATTTAGATTATTTGAATCAAGGTAATGGACTAAATTATACAACTGCTCAGGTGTTGCTCGGTACCAACTTCCTCCGTTTCTCTGTTAGAATTCAATCAACGTTATTCTGTTCATAATCGCGCAACAATCACAAAACATAATTGCGATCCGTTATCAAGAAGATTGCTTAAATTACGAGTGAAGTAACAGGTTTATTTCACAGCGAGGAAAAAATCTTCTGACTTTTTCGTGGACTTACAAAATCAGAGGAACGATGAATTTGAATAGACCGTAGACCTTGTTAGCGTTTCACGGCGTACCACAAAATGGCTGTTAGGAAGAAGAGTATAATCCTTCGAGATTGCACCATAGTCATCAGGAGCAGGTACGAGAAAATGATTTGCGGACTGCGTGTCTTCGTCAAGTGGTTACTTTTTACTCTAATCGCAATAGCCTTTGATCGCGTAACTGACGTAACTGACGTAACTTCGATCTTCTTGAGCGATGACTAATAGGAATGCCATTGATCTCTAGAGAGAAGTCTAGGCTGAATCTTCGACGAGAAATAATTACGCGAGCGTTTGTCTGGCCGCGCGCAAATTGATGCTCGCATCATTGAATTATCCCGTTCCGTTCCCGTTCGCGGCATAATCGGAATCGGACCTTCCTGTTCCTTCTTTTCCCACCGTCGCGTTGTGACGCGTCATATTTCCGCACTGTTGGCCGCGATGACATCGAAATCACTGACAGAACGAAACCACGGAACAGCGTGTAATTATATTCCAGACGTATGTGTGTGTGTGTGTGTGCAACAACGGAAGAGGAAAATAGTTTGCCTCTTCTGGAACACGGTATTTCAAGATTACTTCGCAGCTCGATGTCTACACGATTGACTACTACTTACGATTTGTGCGTAGCTTTCTACTTAATTGATAAATTAAATTTCATTGCAGGAAAGTTAAATTACCATTTTCAAAAATAAATTGCAGAGTAAGAAAATTTTATACCGAGTGAAATTAATTACTCTTATCTTACTGATCTTTACGTTAAGAAGTTTGCACAAGCGAAACGTACGTTTACCTCTTGAAATCTGTTAAACACGATGAACATGATAATAGGCTAATTTGCAACACACGTATCGACCAGTTTTCTGCCTTTTGCCCTTTTAAAACTCAAAGGCATACAAGGTGTCCTAATATCCTGCTGACCTACTGCCGAATCATTTTGACGTCAGCGCAATAGCCCACTAGGTCACGAAATTCTGAAGGTCTCGTTTACGAACCGATTCCGAGCGGATGACTAGTTTGACACGTGCGATCTTCTTTCGTCGAGAGAAACGACGTACGCAGCCGACGAGAGGCAAAATTCTAGGCGAAAAAAAGGTCAAATCCGGCACGAGTCGTTTGACAAGCCTGATTCGTGTCAAAAGCCGATGAGGTGACACGTCTGTTAGGTAAATTAGACACGACACACTGTGGAAACGATTTGGAACGACGGCAAGCGCGAATCGTCGAGAATAAAGAACGTAGTTCTGTATCGATATATATCGTGAATGTATCTCGTGTCCGAAATACGCATCAGAGACAACTGCCATTGTACACGCCACTTTGAAAGTAGGCTGTTACTGAAAAAGAAAGCGTTTACGGACTGATATTCGTTCGGATCATTTTCATTGTTTTGATATGTAGAATGAACTCTGCGTGAAAACGTGTCGAATTAATTATAAAAGAAAGCAATTAACTGAGGAAGTGTCTCTTACGAAGGCGCGAGAGAGTTCCATCGTTCTGAAAATTCTTCCTTGTCTTCGATGATGCGTCACATATCGAAATAAACGAATAAACTTCAAATTTACAATTTATCGAGTTTTTTTTATAGATTTACATGTAAATCGTTGGGATAAGATCACTATGTTAGATACAAGGAAAGTAACTGGATCCAGTTTCACGGTCATGGACACGATAAAAATTTATATGTACATAGATACACGTACGCGCTTCACGCGATCATGTATTACACAAATCTAGCTGATTACGCCGTCTAAGCGTAAATAAAAATAAAAATAAAAATAAAAAATTCCTAGAACTTTGTCCTTTTTTTTTAGTGTTACGACCACAGATGTGTTACAGATATTTTAATAAAAGCAGTTTAACTGCTTTCTTTTCCTTTATTTGCTTACAATTAGTAGAAAAGCATATCTCGTTTTATGGTAAAATTTTCGCGGAATTTCACGATACCATCGTGGACACCACTTTCGCAAACGAGCATCGCGTGTTTCACGCGGTGAACGCTCGTGAGTGGCCGAAACGCGGGGAAATTCGTCTGCGAATTTCGTGCGCCAGTCGAGACAACTTATATGAAATCACTACGACGCGTGCATATAATATTAGTGCCGTGACAGAGACGCTTTCACTGACGCTGGAATAATTTTATCAAGAGTCGCGATGATCTGGCTCTGTTTGTTAAACTTGTCGCTTGGGTTTTCATCTTCGTATTCACCGATCAGTGAACACGAATCGTTTTGATACTGGAAATTACAATTATGATAAATTTTGAACTGCAAGAATTTTTTGATGAACCATGAGATAATTACGTCTGTTTTTTTTTTTTTCTTGACAACAAAAATATTTAATTCGTTAGTACTTCTGTCTTGTATTGCAATCTTCGAGCACTATTTAAGTCTAAAGCAAATTGATAGATGGGGTTTACGAGCGCGATCAGACTTGTGGAAAAAGTTTCTTGGGCCTTGCCCAACGACGCGAGTGAAAACAGACATCGGTAGTGGACAGATATCGGTTAAGAAACACGCTTAAAATTTAAGACGTCGCCGTCGATGACCTCAACGTCCAATTACATGATTAAATAATTGTCCCCAATTCGTTAACGGTTCATAGAACGGAATTTACAAAGTATGCACTGGAAGAATAAAAGAATATCGTAACTGCTAATATAAAAAAATTAATGCAAATCACTTAATCGGGCAATTTTTAATCGGTGTTCTTATTCTTATGAATATTTTAGAATGATTAAAATAAGATGAATATTATCAATAAAAGAATTTCCAATGATATAAATAAATAATGCGCTCTCGTTGTTCTTTTATTGGAATATAATATTTTAGAGAAATTAAATATTCCGTCTTAATTTCGCGCATTAGTCAATAAATTAATTATTATTTTTCTTTCAAAATTATGACACATGTGATAAGATCAAACTATTAATAATGTTGATAAAATATCATGGTTTTTAATTGAAGAAACGATTTAAATTTAATCTAAAAATTATTCAATTACACCGGGAAAAAAAATAATAAAAACATAAAGAAAAACATACCATAAAGATTGATGCATCCGAGTATCCAAAAGCTCAACAAGAGTTTGCTAATCATCTCACGTTCGTGAACCGGCTGGAAAAACGAGTTCTTCTCAAAAATCCATCGTTCGCGTGCCGGTGTTAAAATCCAAGAAAAGCACGTGTTCACAGATCGTGATAAGAAACTTTGAAATGAGAAAGAATTAATATTCTTTCATTTTCTCGTTTTGTTGGCATGCGGAATAATTACAAAGTCGCGAAACATTAGAAGTCTGATAGAAAAAAAAAAAATAGACAAACGATCAAAGCTAACCGTGACTTGCTCGATCAACGAAATAATAATTTTTCTCTCTCGATTTTCCCTTGCTGTTCGATGGATGAACTCTGTTAATGTCTTTTAGAATGCAATCTTCCTTTTCTTGTTTTTTCTTTATCGTTGTTTTAATTTAAACGAATTTGTTTTACGGCGAATTGTGTGCGATTTCGAAGAAAACGCGTTTCTGAGAGGAAAAAAATAGTTGGAAACAAGATCGAATCCGACGAATCGTAATTGTCAAGGAAAGGCGCTTTTTTTTCAGCTGGCTGAACTCTTCAACTTCTCCTGCTTTCTCCTTCTAAAGACTCGGTGCAGTTTAAACGGTCAAGCGATCAGCAATCGAACGCACCGCTCGTACGATTTATATTTGCACGATGCTTCACGGAAAATTTGTGGTGTATCGATCGCTTGCGATCCAATTTTTGCAATGCAATCGCATTATCGATCCGTGCGTGGCCAATAAAGACGTCGTCGTTTCATGTCGACGATCAAATTAAAATTGTAATCTCTTAGCGAATGCAGCGATAAATTAATAGAAATCGATGTGGTATATGATGTTAATTCGCCGGATTTCGAACGACTCGATCGTTCGATCACTAATTTATCACGCGATATTGCACAGATTTCGCGTTTTCATTGTCCGGATCGCTTTCGAGGCAATCTCGTAGCGTAGCTCGATTTTCACGGAGCGGCGCACTCCGGCAAAACGAGAAGCCTGGCGCGCCAGCAGAAACTAAGAGAGAGTTTGTGGCGATCGTCTACACCTGCAGGAGCACCGGAGCTGCTACCTCGTGGCCTACTATAACAGAACTGACTCCCACCATAGTATGGCCACGTCTCTTTACTTGCCATAAGCGAACGGTGTTTATTTGCCGTGTCTCCCGACAACGATCATTCCCTCCATCGCGATCTCTTCAGGATGTTGCCGACGATAACTTTGCCTTTCCGTCGTTCTTTGGTTCACTGAGCATTCGAAGGGCTTTATTATCGTTTCCTACGAGATATTTAAGTGAAACTCCTCGTCTAGACTCTCTTTTATACGCCTATTAATCCTTAATATAGCACTTATATTTTATTATAGTGCTTATAATAAAAACCATACAAAAAAGAATATCACATTGTGAACTATAGTTTTTATTTAAATTGGACACCTGAAGATATTTTGAGAAACGATATATAATATAATATAGGTATATCGATTTAATATAATCTTGGAATATTCTAGAAAACGACAATGTTTCTCTACAGCGTAAAACCATTAGATGTGTAACGAAGCATTACTATTTAATTCGTAATGCGTCCTGGCACCTTATGGTCGGGCTATGCGCCGTTGCCTAACAAAGGCCGCAAAATTTTCTTGGGCTGTCGCAATAAAGGAGTTTCACTACTATCGAAAGCATCCGCACAATCACATACGAACAACACATTACTAAACATTATATCATCGTACCGAAACTGAAAATGGACTCCTGGTTGCCCCTTCTCACGATAGAAAGGATCGTGGCTCGCTTTCGCGAACAATCGCTAACTCAGATCGATTAATGCAATTGACGCAAAGTTGTCCCTTCCTCTTGTCACTGCCGTTACATGTCTACATAGTTTTAAACAATTTATATTTTTTACACAAGAGATATTTTTCTTCAATATCTACCAAATTATTTTACCTTATTTACCACATATTAAAATATTATCGTTTTATTGATGGTAAACTGGTGTAGAACTAATCTTTAAGAAAGCAGAATAAAAACTGAATAATCTTGGTTTATTTTCTAAACAATAAAAATCGATATCTCTTTAAACGGTTCATTACTTTCTTCTCTTTTTCTCTTGTTTTATTGAAAGCTCGTACACGATACTTTTTAGCAGTAATTCATGATTAATTCAAAAATCAGTGGAAGCAGACGTACGTAGTCAGAGAAAGTTTATCAGGAAGATCGTCGTAGTTTACGGTTTGCCAAAGCAAAGAAAAAATCGAAATGAATAATCAATGCGATCATCTTGTGCGATTCCACTCTAAGTTTTCTTCCTATGAACAGTGATTTTTTTTTTTTTTTTTTTTTTTTTTTTATTAATACATTTGATATCTTCTATCGTATAATATATGCGGAGAAAACGTGCGTTTACACGGGACACTCATTGGATGCAAAGAAGTCTGTAATCGTTTACTTTCACTTTTCCATCGATAATTATCCACGTTTGTATCTACAATGTTCATGATTGATAACACTTACGTATCTCATATGTATTAAAATCAATTTTTGCGAAAAATTATAATATCATTATTCTTTTATCAAACAGAATTTCAATATTTTATTCGGATATTATTTCTGCTGTGTTTAATCATTGTCTGAGAATAGGTATATACCTCGCCCAAAACATGGGTCATGCAAAAACATTGGTCTGGTTTATTCTAGTTAATCAATGGTTTCATGCATTAAGAGATATTAGCATGAAAAAGAGAAATAAAGATGCATAAATTTTTTTCTAAATACATTCATAATTTTATTGTATTATATTTAATATGTACGTGATATATATCTATAGTACAAGTCATTTTAATATTGTAAAACCCATTATGGTAGATCTATTTATAACCAGAAAAAGATGCGTTTTATATATAGAAGTGTAACGTAAAGTCCATGTAATATATAATATTTACAAAATGATGCAATTAAATAAGTTACTTAAAAAACTGAGTTTCATCAAAGTCATCTTGGTATTCTTCCACTATTTTTGCTTTAGTTACCGTTTTACGTTTTCCCAATCTAAGTTGTTTCTCTTCTTCAGAAAGCTCATCTAGATTAAGAGGAAGAGTAATTATCCTTCTTGGTTCGTGGTAGTTGATATTAATACTACTTCCATCTGGTAAAACAAGATGCACAGGAAAAGTATTTAAATATAATTTTCTATGCGTCTTTGTTATTGCTGCTGTCCAACAATTCAGTTTTCTACATAAGAACAGCGTAGACTGTGTTGGTCGCAAAAGAGAGGATATATTCATTCTGAAATGTGAATACATATTGAAAAAAAATCAATAATACACATTAATTTTACTCTGTCACTAGTGATCAACATAGTAATGATAGAAAAGTAAATAGTACATTCATACAAAGAGGTTATATTCAAGTTTAAATCTATTTTCAATCACATTACGTTCTTCAATTGTTATCTAATGATAATATTTTATAGTTTTCTATGTCATTGTCTTTCTGTCATAATTAAATAAAAAGTGAAATTAAACTTACCTCTTTTTTTGAGCAAACAATACTACTGAATTTAACTATACACACGTACTCCTACATAAATAGTATATAATCTGGCCACTAGATGGCTACGCATTGCGTATTGAATCGAATCGAAATATCGATACTTTTTCGAACTAAAGTTCGAGTAACAGTTTCCGTTACATCTTTGTAATCAGTGCGCGTTAGATACGTATTCGTTGTAAAAGTAAGTGGATTATTTCATTTTGCGAATGAATTTACGTAAGTGTATTGTAACATGTTGTCGTATGGTTACATGGCCTCGCAGTTTTCATGGATACACATCGCCTATTGGTATGAATAAAATTTAAAATAATGTGCAAGTCGAGTGTGGTAGCCATGTTGGCGCCACTTTTGCGATTTGAATCATAAATAGATTATTTTTTATTATAACAGAGACAAACAAGCAACTGGTTGATAGCAGTAACATAAAATCAAGCTGTAGTACCAGTCGACGCATTTTCTTGCGATTCTCCATAATTGTTACCAGGTATTTCAATATATTCTTTACGATCCCTGTGAAGAGTAATCTATATGTATATAGTTTTTCTTTATAACAAAAGGACAAATAAAAAGAATGCATTTGTATATAGTGAGTGATTCTACTTTTATATGGTACACGTTTTCTTCAATAATATATAACTCATTGCAAAATGTTAGTTCAATTAGTGCTGTTAGTAGAGGTACAACACAACACACACACATATACGCCTGGACGCGCGCGCGCGCAACATACACACCCATGCAATAACCACATTTATTCAAAATGAATACACATTTCTTTATTCAAATATTAATCTTCCTGTGGTTTTAATATTTGAGAGGGATTTTATTATTCCATTTTGTAGGAAGTAAAAATCAATATAGGATTTTTACAACAATTAATTACAAAGACACTAACCATTTGTGTTCGACATGTAATGCAGTGGAATGACACTAAAAATTATTAAAACTTTTCTAAGTTTTAATAATTAGATAATACAATTACTTTATTATAATTTATTTTATAAAAGTAGCTTCAATACCATGCTTAAAAGTCACAACATCATAATACAAACTAAATATAAAATGCTTAATTTTGAAATCTATTGAGATTTAAAAATATTGATATTTATAATTAGACTGAAGTGCACAATAGCATGCACACGACAATTTTTGTTATATTTTCAAGATAAACACAAATGTAAAATCACGAACAATTACAATATCAATAACTTAAAAAAATTAAAACAATTACTTATAATTATTCATAACAAAAGATAGAAAATTAATGAAATAATTTTTATTTTTATAATCGATTTCATTTGATATATTTGTTATATCGTTTAACATATTAGTACATGGTTACAATTATTATAACCAAGGTTTCTTCTCTTTTATTTATACATTAAAAACCAATTGAGATTCATAAAAGTAGTAAAAATGATCTCATTTACAACAAATATACTCCATGTTTTTCAATGGAATGGAAATTTTGTATAGCCTATTAACAATAATAAAATCTCGATAACAAGTTATATTATCCACTGAATCTTCACATGAAATCTTTATTCACACTGTATTTGGTTATTTTTTATATCCTGGTTATTTATTTTGTAAAATTAATGATTCTTTTTCTATTTAGTACAAATTTAGAGGCAAAACTAAGTATACGGTTTTGAGATGATTTTAAAACAAAATTGATGATGATAGGTGCTTATATTCTGTTTTTGAGGTCAATCATCTTTTCATGGTTAAATCTGTAAACAAATTGTTTTTGCTGCCTCATATTTACAATTCATACTAGCAGAAGCACATACATACTTATGAGAGTTGAACTGATTTAAGCGGATAATAAGCAATGTATATAAAGTTAGCTATCAAATTTTACGTAGATATTCTACATCTAGCTATGTTGACAATGTAAGTTCTATTAATTACATTTATGAGTTTTAAAATGTAGTCAATTTCAATTTTGTTATGAGATAATTAAAGAGATTAACTAAGTAAGACTTATGAAACGTACAATATTATTTATTGTTTGGCACATGCAATAAATGCTATTATTTTCAATGCATATTAACAAATAAAATTTCTATTAACATTTAAAATGTGCATTAGTGTAACCAACATGCATTTTTTAGTGTTTTCTTAATATCCTTATGTTAGTAAGTTTTTGAAAAACGTAAGCAGTACATATTCTATAAAGTTGTTAGTTAAGAAATAGTTTATGATGTAGAAATAAAAATATACATACCTGTATAAAACATAATGTTGTATAATGAAAAATATATCAAATGCAACTGAAAAAAATCCCAAACCAAATTTTGTGGGATCTCCAAAAATACTTTCCCAATCATCTAAAAAAGAAATTATCATCAGTTACTTTTCAATAATGCAATATTAATTTTATATTTTATACGTTATACGTTACCATAATTATATGCATTAAGTATCATCTGTAGCATTGACAACATACCACCTGTAAAGTCTAAAAATATATTGCCAATGCTCCAACCAACAGTAGATTTTCTTTTATAGTTATAAAATGCTTGTGGAACATATTTAATTAACGTTATGCTCAATTTAACATAACTACAATAATATAGAAAATCAAGCCACGTTATTACTGCTACTATAGCTAATATCATAGAAATTAAAATAAATAATGTAAATATCCCGTGAATAATACGTGCTATGATAGATACCCTTTGATTTCCTATCTAAAAAAATAACAAATTTATTAAAATTTACAGAAAATTTTACAAAACTACAATATATTCACCTGTGATATATTTAATTAATTACCTCATAAATGAAACATTGAATAATAGTTATCACAGTTGCAAATGTTGCGTGCAAAGCAAAAAAAATATCATTCACTTGTACAGGGTTTAAACCTTTTGGATATCTCCTGAAATACTCGAGCTGAAAAGTGCAACATTAAATAAAACTATAATTTTAAAAAATTATATCAATTACGCACTTTAATTTACCTCAACTTCTGGTATCCAAAATAGGCCACAGTTGAATAGTGCATACAAAATAAAACCAACCAAGTTTAATGATAAATAATCGAAATTTAATCCTACAACACTTTTGCGTTTGTAATTACTGTATATCTGTGGATAGAAGCTTACACTCCATGCTAGAAAGTATATCCAACCTACTACAGTACTTATGTGGTAAAGTACATCTGATTTTTCAACTGTCACTCTGACAAATGCTTGTGAAAAACTGTAACAAAACATAAAATATTAGAGTACTGTAATATTAAAGTACTGTAATAAATTTAACACAGTATTACAATTTTATAATCTTTGTCTTACTTTAAATCAATTTTGTTTAATTGGTCCTGAGGTATTAAAATCACTTTAAAAAGTGTCATTATTTTTTAACGTTAATTTCCAACTTCAATTAGTTTAGCACAAACTTTACAATATAAATATCGGAGTCAAACTTTACAATAAATTAATGCAGATGATTATGTTAAATTTGGTTTGATTAAAAATTTTAGAAGTAAATGTACTGATACATTTGTTGCTAGTAACTAGTGTATCATGTTTTAATCAGAACAGATGAGTGCAGACTGACTGAACTTTCTGTAGACGATCCGATGACAAGTATAGGTCAGGAGGTTATCTGTGTAAACCACAGTGAATATAATGTCGATCAGAATCTTTTGTAACTTAATCATAGAAGTAAACATTGATATTATATCTGATCATACAAAAATCAACAGTGATTTGATTTTTTTAATCCATAAGAAATTAGATTAATGAACATTAAAATCTTTATTTGTAAAATTAAGGAACTTGAATTTTGATTTATAAAATAAATATACTTACTCCGTAATATAGCTGGGTGTGACATTAAGACTGACAATCGAATGTCCTGCACTGAGACCTTTTACAGATATATTCTCTATATTACCTCCAGTAATTGTAAAACTGGGTGGAAGGATAGAAACTAAATCTGGATGTTGCACTTCTATTGTTACTAACGCAGATACACTTGAGTTTTCCCTGCATGAAATAATTAAATAAATATTAGTAAATTTGGTATATTCTTTAATTATTAAAGTTTAGTTAATTTATGGGTCTAAAATGTTTAGAGACATAAAAAAGATTTATCTCTCTTTGCTGTAGCTATAAGATAATGCTTAAAGTACTACAATTTTTCCATGCTATCATTGTATAATGTTATCAGTGTTATGACTCTATCTATGAAATTTTCCTAAATGCAACATAACACCCAATTAGAATAATATTTTAAAGGAAAATATTTTCAAATTGAAATAAAATGAAAATATCACATTTAATATTTAGAAATTATAGCAATATAATTAGTCTACAGATTATAAATTATAATTTATGTTTTGTTCAACGTGTTATACTTATTTCTTTTAGATTGTTTGTTTTATACTTTTACTAATACTTTATCTGTTTTATAGAGAAATACTTACGTCAAGTATACCTCAAAGAATTCATTGTTATTTACATGAACTTTTAAATCTTGAGTCGAGACTTTCAAATCTGCCCATGCTTTATCTGCAACTGAAATATCAACTATTGTTACAAGAACTTCATAAAGTTGATTAAACTTATAAGTTGTTCTAACATACCTATGATGGTGACAATCCCAATATACCATATCAAGGCCATTTTGTATGATTTCTGAAATGGATCAAACACAACTTTAAACTTCAACTATTTCCAAGTCTTAGATTTCACATAACATTGTATTTAACTATACTTGTACTGATTGCAATACAATTATATAGGCAGTAGTGAAGCAACAACTTGATCTCAAAATTAGTAAATACTAATTGAGTGTTCTAATTCATCAATTTTAACCATTACTCTAACTAGACTGACTCGATTTTACTGCCCATGTCTAGTTGAGAAAAGAGTCATTTAACTTCTGAAGGCTTTGACCGCTTAATACGCGGAAAAAACAAAGAAGTCATAGAAAGTGCAGAGCACTTTGTCGGGTGCATGCTATTGATACAATCGGAATCTCCATGCCAATCCTTTAATCGTCACTCACAACAGCAACGTGATAATGTTCCCCATATTCGACCGTTAGTTTGACAATTTAGAAAAATAAATAACCATGTTAATGTGGTCGTCTCGTACTGACACGAGAACAAAAGCTCTTGTGGAAAGACACAGAGAATATCGAACTTAACCTCGAAGTGCGACGACCTCGACGAAATACGCTACGAGGCGTTAAAGGCGATAAGACTTTCCGTTCTGAGGATCTTTGACACTTCGTCCAAGTTTGGACGAGCACATCGTTTGATTAGCAAAACTTGACATCGCCAAATATTTCACGGCGAGCCAAGTGAAAAATCGATCGAGCCTGTATACCCTCGAATCGTTCCGTGCAAACATGGATAGAAATTCCTGGCTAGCATACGTCCTCTGTTTATGTCATGCGACTAAACATGGTGGCGTGAAAGATGAGTTTGAAATAGGGACTTGACAAAACATGGTCTCGAACGGTAATCTCTCGTAGACGTAAAATTTCCATTGAATCACGTGCGTGTATATCTGTGGAAACAAATATTTTTTCCTTTTGTTTGGAACAAAATTTTGAAACTTATTCGAATCTTCTTCTATCGACGATGTCTTTCGAAAGTTTCGAAAGTAGTCTGATGTAAATTCTTCGCGAAATTACTCAGGTAAATGAGTAAAAGAGGCTTCTCAGCCTCGCATCAAGATATTTGCATGTAAATTGCGGGCAACGCGATGTCATTAACGAGTTCCACAACGTGATAGTTATCGTTTTGATACGCAATGTTTCATTATGCCACGGTTTTTTTCATTTCATCGTATTACGCTTTTTTTCCCGCGCTGTTCATTTTTGTAATGTTCTCGGTAGACTGGCACCATCTTTTTTCTACGCGAATTATGGAGCTATTCGGAGATAATGGACCATCTATTTTTTTTCGTTATTCGCCTTCCCTGCTATAAAATTTTCCAATATTATAGCCAGCCATATTGCTTTCCTTTCTTTCTAGGTAGTAAATACAATTAGTACAATTAACTGTTCCACAAAAGCGTATGTTCTATCGTTACATATTTGCGAAACTAACAATAAGAGTTACTCTCGTTCAAATTTTCCGCAACTCTCGGTTTCTTCTTTGCCAATTCTTGTTTTTCTCTTCGGACTTAATTATTTTCAACACCTCTTTATTCGCAAATTCGAAGATCTGTTACCTATTACTCCGGAGGAATTCTTCGCTGTTTACGAAATTGTAGCCGTCAAATGAAACCTCTGTCTCAGAGCAAAGTTGCGGCAATATTTATTGTTAGCAAGACTGAGCGAAAATCGAATGGAACCGATAATGTTACGTTAATACTTCGTATTCGGCAATTCGGGAAATTCTTTTCCGAGAAGCAGCTCGCGAGAGAGAGTGAACGGCACTCGTAAGCGGAGGCAGAAGCTAGGCGGTGTGGGCGTATGTATACTATACACATTTCGAGATAGAATAAATCGAAAGAGAGATCGACGTTCGAGTGCACTCTGTGTCCCAAAGGGGCCTTCGCGAAGCTTACACGGAAACAGCTCTGAAAGTCGATCGGCAGTCTACTGCCGCTTTTGTTGACGTATACAGGCTACCTCGTCGCCAATATTTTCCTTTGCGTTATAGCTGTACGAGCCGAACGGACCTAATCCTTGAAGATAGGCCCCCTCCTCCCTCTCTCTCTCCCCCTCCCTCTTCGTCCCTTTCCTTTCTATCAATTTCAATTCGTCTTCAATATGGATAAACAAGATTGTTCCCGGCCGGACGTTCACCGATATACCACGAAATTATTCCTCCGAGTCGTCCGCACGGAATTTCCCAGGAAATATTCCTTTCCCCGTTCTCCTTTCTTCAGACTTCAAGATTCGGGAGTGCCTGTCGGGGCATCCTGGAAATTTCCAAAGCGTTTGAAAACGTTTTCTTCGGCGAAATGGTCCACGGAACCTTCGAGCGTCGTCCGATCGATTTCGGATAAGCGAATCAACGTTTACTTATCGTCTACAATCTGGAGTATATACGAAAACATCTCGCTGCTTGGACGACTTTTCAAAATTTAAGTATCGCCACGTTTTTGAAAAATCTGTTCGAAACTCTGCTTCTATTTCGTGCCCCTCTTATCTTGAACTTTCGAACACGATTGCGATGTACATATGTATGTACGTTTGATATATCGTGATAAAAAAAGAAAAAAAAAAAAAAAAAGAACAGTCCATTCGATTTAGACTCGTGTAATGTAAATCATTACAATCGCGGTTTTTTTTTCTTACATCGAATTCGTTATCTGCTATGTGTATTTCAGTTATTTACTGTTTGATAAACTAAATACATTTCAGCGGGTCAAATGCCTGTGAAATTTCATAGACATTGCGAAAAATGCTATTGGCGTTGATGGAGAACGAAATAAACACAACAGAAAAATTATGTCGAAATGACAAGTATGAGAAATAAAAGTAGGGAAATAATCTATAAACTAGTACGTTAAGTTATCTCCAAATGAATGATAAAACCATTGGAATTTACCTACGTGTATTGCATAAATGCTGCATTATTTATAAGTGGAAAACCAAGGAAAAATACATGACATATTAATGAACGTTATGTATTCGTTCGTCAAGGTTCTTACATGCTACTATATTTTTCTATCTTCAATATAAATGTCGGTTGCGTCAGTTGTTTTAGATTTTTTCGCTCAATATTTTTTAACAGTCACACATACGGTTGCGTTATCTTTTGGCTAGTAGTTGCATTATCCTTTCATTCTGAAAACAATTTTGTGAACAGTTTTGCGTGAGCAATATTAAAGGTTAGTCCGCCAGGCAATAACGGTTAGCATAAATTAAAGATTAACTTTACCGGCTGGATCGGGCAACGTAATGCTCGTTCCATGCTAATTTCTTATCGCCGGCAATTACTTAATCGCACGCAGTCAAATGCACGTTGAAGCCACGTACCTGGCTAATTGGGACGCGAAGAAACATCCGTGAAATCAGCTTCGTTTTGTGAAATCTAGCCGCAGCAATAATGAAAAAAAAAAGAATAACAATAATAATAATAAGAAAAACAAAGGCAAGAAATACAAAGTATTATAATCACGGTGAGCACTCTGGAGCAATTGAAGGAAAACATACGTGAAAATGCAGACGGAGAATGTTAATTTCAAATGGAAAAATAGTTGCGTAAGATTTGTGAAGCATCGAGGTATGGAACGATTTTCTGCCCTAGCAATTTCAAAAGTAAGCGTTGCCAAGCGATTTCGTTGCGCGGGATGAAATTAGATTTTATAACGTAAAAATGCGTGTACCTGCAGCAAATGCGGGTCACGCGGTTTCGTGCACCAGAAACGCCGATCTACATGAATTTCATACAGAAAATTTCAAAAAGAAAAATAACAAGAACAACGCTCTCGCGAAAGCAAAGATTTCCTGGCGATAAATCGTATCCGTTTTTCCATAGCGTTCCACGCGATTTTCATGTCTGCCGCGTGCTGTCGCCTTTATCTTGAGATTTCAAAACGTCTTACTCGCATTATCGCAGATTTCTTTTGCATTTTTAATTTCAATTAATCACCGCGTCGTGCAACCCGCCGGGGCAGAACGCACGAACGTGTTCCTCTCTAATATGTATATATTATGTCTATTTTCAGCTCAACCGTTCGATCAATTCAATTCGCTCCAAGTTCATAGATCAAATTTCCCGTTTCACTTCTGCTAATATCCCGGGAACATTAACTTCGTGTTTTGAACACGTTATATCCTCCTGTCGTATATTCCGATCTGGCTTTCCAACTTTGCTTTTTCTTTGTATCGTACCGTTCTTCGATGTAAATTCACGAGCTTCATCGCGCCGGTCTCTCAGCTATTTCACGAACTCGATCCATATAGAATATTAATGTAACGCCGCCGTATTCTCTCCGTCGCTGTAAAATCACGTTTCCCCGAGCGGTTTCGATAACGCGAAATCGCAGGTAATAACGTGCGCGAGATAAAAGATTTTATTCGACCGTTCTGGTTAGGTTAACGTAGTCTAATTGACCGTCGCATCGGTTCGGTATAGAGAAAAAGCAGGTAGGTCGATACCCTGGTGGAAAAAAAGCGTTACGTGATAGTGGAAACAGGTAGGAAAGAAGGTTGACCGATTCCACTCTGACGTTCGTTCGATCATGTAATTTGCCCCGTGAAAAGCAAAACTCGTATCTGATAATGTCGTCCGAAACGTGTCGCTTCGCCACGTCAGTTCGTATCCAAGGAAAACTTCTTTTCCTGTTCAGGCGTTCCAGCCGATTTCCAATGTAAATTTACAAGCTCCGGGCGGCAGTTTGGCTCGGTCTGCGGATTCGATTCCTATCGAATATTAATGCCTGGAACGCGGGCTGCGTTTGACCTTTTCCGAAAGCCGATTTTACGAGACTGCTCGACGTACGATCGAAAACAAGACGAACAAAGCAACGGCTGACCCGTGTCGGCCTAGTTTTAAAGAATATCACCCATGATACACGTAAACATTGCCATGAGAAACCTTTTTGTCTTTTTCCTTTTTTTCTTTTACCTTTTTCCCTTTTTTTTCCTTTTTCTTTTGGTCGTCTCTCGAGAAAACTAGTCTTGTGCCTCTTCTTTCTCCTCTCCTTGGCTCGTTCTTGCGCATACGCGAAAAAAATTTCGCCCGATGACGAAATGAAAATGAGTTTTCGGCGGTGTTGGCGGTGACAGTGGTCGCCGGACCGGCTGCTCGAAAACTTAATTACTCGTTCGGACGAGAAGAAAGTTCGGACGACGGGGAAATTTATTCTTCGTTATTACGATCGTTCGCCACGCTGTCACCGTCTCGAACGAGTTCCGAACTTCCTGTCCCGAGATTTATACCTGATTTTGTTAATCACGGAGAGAACGTTTCAAAGGAAAGTTTCCCAGCGTAATTGCTTAATGAGCGTTTTTTCATTTCAGGTATTCCTGTCGTCGTGGTGCGCTCCAGCGTTCAACGATTCACAAACGGATCGTCGGTGAAAGAGAATGTCAAATCGTCCTGCGGCTAAAGTGAGTAATATACGGGAAAATGAGTGGCACGATTTTTTACAGTAAATTTTCAAAATCGCGTACTTTAGGGACACGATTATCTTGGCGACTCGAGATATAATTTATAGATCAATAATCCGGCGAGATAGAAAGAATACCATGAGCATCGATTATCGATACGTGTCACAATGTAAAAATGTAAAAACACGTGTAATTATACATTAATGTACGTAATGTAATTATTTATTATCTATTAATATTAGAGAGTTACTAAGAAAACTCTTATCTACAAGTACTATCGGCACCTTTTTTTCTCACAACAGATAGGTCTTATCTAAGACGTGATTAACTGAAAACTTGCCAAAGATTAAAGCCGATATAAAAGGCATGTTAAATGTAACAATATACGATGTACATGAAAGATTCCGTTATAATTCAAAAGATTGATAAGTCGATCGATCGATCATGTCCGCAAAGAACCTAATTACTATGCGAATAAACTGTGTCAACGAGAAATTCAGATGAAGGGTCGTAAATTCGTGATTTAGGTAGGTGTTGCCGAATGGGAACCTTTATTCATTTCGTGAACGTTCAAATACGATATCAGGGGCAATAATTTTTTAAATCGACCGCGCGAGACAGATGGTCGATTATTGGACGGGAACTTTACTAAAGGAAATGCGAAACACTCGCGGAAAAGAAATATTTGTAATTTTGAAACAGCCCGGTTCTCTGTGGGTAGATGCTTTTCGAAGCAGTGGCGAGTTTGAGATCCATCCACCTTAATTGAAGCGTGATACGTTGCTTGCGTGTTGCATTTTTAATTCCGTTTTTAAAAAAAGCGGAACGTTGTTGAGCTCGCGAGTCCGCCTGATTATACGTTTGCTCCCGCGTCCGCGTGTTTATAATTATTCGCAGACTCGTCGCAACGGTAGATGAAAAATTCGGCACGGTAGATCTTTGAACGTGGCGGAGAGAAAAAGTAAAAAA